AAAAAAAATCAAAAAGAACTTTACTGTCTCTAAGTATATTCAAAAATTTAAACTTTAGGCAGAAGTGTAGTAATCCACAAAGTAGGTTAAGTGCTACATTTGGAAAGTTTTTCCTGACTTGCTCATATATAGAAATAATTTCTAGAAATACTACATTTGACTTTTTATTTTTTTCTAACAAAATAAGACACAAATTGGGCTCTTAGGATGCCCTTGTGTAGCAGGAGACAGTGTGCTGTTCTCTAACATTTGCTGACTGCTTAATTAATACTTTGGGTTGCTATGGTGAATTACAGTGCACAAAAAGAGGCACATAGAATTGAACTTATGTATTCCATCATATAAAAGGGATCTATTATTTTATATATTTCACCACTGGTCTCTTAGGAACATTTTTAAAAATTCATTGGATAAAAGAATAGAAAGGAAAATGTTATGAGATTTTAAAATTGGTTTTAGTTTTCTATTTGAGACCCACACAGTAGCTCATAACCACCCATAACTCAAGTTCCAGGGGATCTGAAGCCTTTCCAACCTCACCGGCACCAGGCCATGTTCCATGTTCCAGGTACGTGGAACATACACTTTCAGGCAAAACATTTATACATATACCAGAAAATAAAATCTTTAAAAATTTATTTTTAAAATGTTTCATAAGTGTTCTTCCTTTAGCCACATTGAATCAGTGTCAGGGGGCTCAGAAAAACTTGTTTTAATTATGTCATACTCAAGTATGACATAGACATCTTTGTTAGGTATATAAGTGAATCGAATTCTAAGACCCTATCCCTTTATCTAGGCTTTTGGGTTGTTTTATTTGTTTTAAAGGTTTGTGTGTGTGCCCATGTGTCTTGAGTGTATTATACATGTGTGTCCAGGTACACATGTACATACATGCAGAGGCCAGAAAGGAATATTAGGTTCCTCGTCTGTCATTATCTGCCTGTTCTTTTGAGACAGGAACTCTCTTGAACCCAGGGCTCCTCCTGTCTCTATCTGTTTCAGAACTGCGGTTACAATGCATGTATGAGGCACCCAGATTGTTATGTGGGTACTGAGATCCAAACTCCAGTCCTCATGATTGTGCAGCAAGCACTCCTAATGAGCCATCTCTCCAGCCCCACAGCTAGGTGCTGCGCTCACATTCTGCATAGCCTACATGAGAGGGCTGTGCAGACACCAGCACCGCTTGTCAGCATGCTTTCTTTGCCTGCTTGGCAGCTTTTCTGATTTACCAGATCAGGAGCTCAGAATACAAGTGTTCGGATCTGACTCCCCTCAACAGTCACTGTATTCCCTGGAAGGCAGGAAGCCCTGTCCTTAATAATCGGTGCAATCCATCAGTATTTGTTTATTCAAACCCAAACTGCTTGATGGACCTCAGAGTAGAGCACTACACATAAAATCTTATGGTAAAAAATCCACTCATTTTCTGAGACTATGATGTGTCTGTCCTCTCTTCTGTGCCCTCTTGCATCAGCCACAGTCCTGAGGGCTCTCACCTGATTACCTTAGCTAGTCCTAATCACTCCCTCCTAACACTTCACAATGGGGATTACATTTCAGTGTGTCTGTCAACCCTTGGGAACACCCTCAAACCATAGTGGGCAGCTACTACCTACATATGGCCAATGTTACTGGAGTTACAATTTTAATTACGTCAGTTTAAATCATCACATTTGAAGGAGCTCTAGAGATGTGTGTGGATTGCCAAGTGGCTCAGTGGCTAGACTCTGGACACATTGGTAAAAGGTGAGGGAGGTGAAATGCGCTACCCAGGGAGCTGGGGGAAGTGGCCACTGATAGAGTAGGGGAAAGCCGAGAACGTAATGCCCTAGAAACTGGATGGAGAGTTTATCCAGGAGAAGCAGATAATCAGCTTGTCAAATGCTGCTAGCAGATCAAGTAAGACAGAGACTAAAGGACAGTCATTTGGAGTTAACAACATGGTTCACCTCTGACAACAGAAGCTACTTAGTAGAGTCCAGAGCCAAACTACCTAAGATTGGCTTAAGATGGAATGACCAGATCATAATAATAAGTCACAATGAAACTCTGCTTTGTCACCTAAACATTTAAAGGAACCAACAGCTTTTAAATGCATGGTCCTGACACATGGGGGGCAGGCACTCTGCTGGATTGCTGGTGTGATAACATATGCAAAACACCTAGGAGAGTCCTCACAAAAATGACAGGGGCTGACTGTGAGCCTCAACTACCCTAGAACTTGCTATGTGGACCCAATTGGCCTGGAATGCACAGAGATCTGCTTGTCTCTACCTCCCCAGTGCTCATATTAAAGGTATGCACCATCATGCCCAATTTAAAAAAATTTTAAAACGATTTTACGTTTTTATATGTCTGCATGTTTGCCTATGTATAAGTATACCCCATGTGTGCCTGGTGCCCACAGGGCCAGAGAGGATAGGACATTGGAGCCTCTGAAACTGGAGTTGCAGAGGATTGTGAGCCACCATGTCGGTTCTGGGAACTAAACCTTGGTCCTCCACAAAAGCAGCAACTTTTAACCACCGGGCCATCTTTCCAGCTCCCTCTCTCAAGTTCTTAAATGTATAATATGGAGGCTGGCAAGACAGCAAAGGAAATTGCTGCCAGGCCTGATGACCTGAGTTGAATTCCCAAGATCCCACATGGTGAAAGGAGAGAACCAATTCCCACAAGTTATCCTTTGACATCCACACACATTTAGTGTGTACAGGAATGCATGTGCCCCACCCCTAAACACACACAAATTTAAATGTACTATATATCCAAGAGAAGGGTAGGAGCAGAACAGTGTGTATGGAATGCTTTGTGTTTGTGTTTCAGAGTGCCACATAAGAGGACACACAAGATGAGCAACAGTGTTCACCTCTACAGGGATGCTGGGGTGGGGTGGGGACAGGGGACAGGAATGACACGGCAAAAATGTCTTCAGCAGGTTTTGTGTCATGCTGTGTACTTGCCTTTATCTACTTCAGAACAATTTAGGTGTCTTTAACTGTTATTAGTTGGCTGGTTAATTGGCATTTAAATTACACTTATTTATTTATGTATGTGTGAGCACATGTATGGGGTTCAGAGGACATCTTGCAGGAGTGTGCTTCCTCCTACCATGTAGGTTCTGGGTATTAAACTTAGGCTATCAGGCTTAGTGATAGGCACTCTCACCCAGTGACCTAATCTTTGTGGCTCTGATTTATTTATTTTTTATACCATCTCACTATAGAGCCCTGGTTGGCTTGAAACTCACTATATAACTAGATTAATCTCAAGTCTCTAGATTCCTATGCCTTCCCAAGTGCAGGTATGACCCACATACACCACCGCAGACCACTCCAAGGCTGTGTCTTAGAAATAAAAATTTGTAAAAATATTTTTGAGTATGTAGTAATAGTAACTCTTAGAGCACTGTGGCAGGGTACACTGTTTGTCTGGGTGGTTTTTGATTTATGGTATTAAGAATGGACCTCCAGGCCTTACACATGCCAGGGTATCTCTGGTCTGTAGTGGGACTTTTAAATGAAATTTATTTTAAAAGGTAAATTTAGGGCCTGGAGAAATGACACAATAGTTAAAAGCACTGGCTGCTCTTCCAGAGGACCTGGGTTCAAGTCCCAGCACCCACATGGCAGCTCACAACCATCTGTAAATCCAGTTCCAGAGGATTTGACATTCTCTTTCTGGCCTCATGGGCATAGACATCCATGCAGACAAAACATCCATGCACATAAAAGAAATATAAATAAATTTGTAAAAAAAATTAAGTAAATTTAGTGTTATAAAGACAATATTTTTATCCCAGCTCCTAGAGACCTGTCATAATTGGCCCTCTAACTAGCTAATTGCAAAATAACTACCTCTTTTTATTTTCAAACATGCATATGCCCCACTGCAGAGTTTCTACAGTTCAGAGACCATCTGAACTTACTCAGTTAGCTATAATATCTGATTCTGTCTCCATAAAGACCTATAAGAACAAATACTGTCTTGGTTTAATTGCTTCAAGGTATTTTAGAAAGACATATGGAAATACAAAGAAGAAATGTACACTTATGTTTTCCCATAATTACATGTAAGTATGTATATTCTGACTTTAGTTTGGGCCCAATTTCCAAAATTGATGCTACTGCTTAATGTTGTTTTAAAAACCTGTGTGGTGACAAAACTGTTTGTCTGGTTTATTTTCTCTCCTGATGACACAAAAAAAGAAAAAGAAGACACACTTGAATAGCTGAAAACATGACCTTGTTCCTCCTGCAGAAGGAGCTGACAGGAGGTGTCTTTTCTTTTATTATGAAGCCATTTTGATAAGACAGAAACACAGGAAACAACATAGTGCCTGCCACCATGATGAAGCCAGTGGCCAAGGTGATTCATCAGAGACCAGTGTCAAATCGGTTATTACGAAAGAATGTAGACGTGGGTTTACACTGATAACTTAAATGTTCCATTCTTTTTATGTAATCATCATACTTAGTGATGTTGGTCCCATAGCATAGGGACATACAGTATACTAGTATTCTGCAAATGCTTGGAGCGCCTGGGCAGGGCCACAGTAACTAACACTATAAAAAACACTTGACACAGGGCTGTATGTGAGGGAGATGTGTGATACAAGCATAAATTACTGCCTTATTGACAGCATGTTGCAATACAGCATTCTCAGCCTCTTGAATATAAAAGAATATTTTTGCATTTGGTTCCAGCAAACACCATTGTGCTATTCTGAAATCCCCAGCACAGAAATAAGACATCCGCTCATAAGCAGAAAGCAAATCACTATTCAGCACTTCCTTCTGTTTCCTGCCAATTTGAGATAATTAAAACTTTTTTTAAACCCTTTATTCTGCTTTGATTCTGCTTCCTTCACCAAAAATGGGGTGGGGGGACCTTAGAAATTGAAACTGTGTGTATAATGATAGCAACCCTTTATTTGTTATTAAAAGCCCCCTTTCATGGTTTAGCCTGTGACATTCTGTCTGTCTTCATTATCACAGGCCTCAGGATATCATCGTGTTTGTTATTGGAGGAGCCACCTATGAAGAGGCACTGACAGTCTATAACCTGAACCGCACCACTCCTGGAGTGAGGATCGTTCTGGGAGGAACAACAATCCACAACACAAAAAGGTAAAAGACCCCCTCGGTCCTACAGTCCTCCCTGTACTGGGGAACTACTTCAGAGTCCCTGTGTCCTGGAAAGACTAATGAACAAACCACAGTGGAGCACTGCTCTGGCACCTGCAGACCTGCTCTGAGAAGGCAGCATCTGAGCTGGGCGGTGGTGGCGCACGCCTTTAATCCCAGCACTTGGGAGGCAGAGGCAGGTGGATTTCTGAGTTCGAGGCCAGCCTGGTCTACAGAGTGAGTTCCAGGACAGCCAGGGATACACAGAGAAACCCTGTCTCAAAAAAACAAATGAACAAAAAAAAAAAAGAAAGAAAGAAAGAAAGAAGGAAGGAAGGAAGAGGTGAGGAACTCAATTTGTGAGGTACATCCATGCTGTACTGCTAGAAGTCGTGTGTTCTATGCTCAGAGACGGAGAACCTCTAAGAACCAGACAGACACTTTGAACAAAGCCAAACAAAGCCCACTGTTGGCACTGGGTGTCTCTGTTGATTAACTATGGTCAGTATGTACTTAGGGAGAAGATACAAAGACAAGCTAAAGAGTTGGTCTCAAGTATTGTTATCAGGAGGAAATGCAGAACAGAAGCAAGGAAATAAGATGAGAAAGAGAAAGAGAGAGGGAGAGAGGGAGGGAGAGAGGGAGGGAGGAAGAGAGGGAGAGAGAGAGGGAGAGAGAGAGAGAGAGAATGAAGAACTACGGATTCTTCAAGTGACTAAATGAACTGGCAAGTGTTCACGAAGAAGAGACTACACAAGCAGAGCCTCACATAAAGCATGAGTACATGAAGGGAGAGCTCGCTCTATTTAGCACTCACTCCACACAGGGCCCACTATCAAGAATTCGGGTAGCACAGTAAACAGTTTAACATCAGAAGTATGGAAAACCTGGGGGCAGGGCTGAGGAATTTTTATTTTTTTATATAAGAAAGTAGAAAGCATGGAAGTTTTTGATCAGAAAAATTACAGGAAATGTATGTTGTTTTAGGAATATGAATGTGGCAGCAAGGGGTAGGAAGACTCCTAGACTAGAGAGGATTGGTCAGATGTTTGGATTCACTGATTGGTCTGAGGGGTCTGTGCTGACACATGTGGGTTTGGGTAACTGAGAGTCATGAACAGGATTTATATGTTCTTTAATTATATACCATTTTGATTTATAAGCATAATTTTGCCTTCATTATGAAAGTAATGTGCACCTATTGTGAAGGGTTTTATTTTTTAGTTCAGAAAGTATACAGAGAAGGAAAATTCCACAGACCAACCACTTAAATAGTATTAGTGTTGAATAGGTCACCATTATCTGTTGACAGATTTTTGAACAGCAGGACCACCTGGGTTTTAACCCTAGCTTTCCCTGAACTCTTCTTGTGAACTTGGACAAGTCACTTAGCCCCTTTGCCAGTGTCCAGAATGTGCTGACACATACATATTTATAGTGTATGTGAATTGCTGGGGAATGTCCTTGCTCACTTTATAATTAGGGTGTTCTTCTGATTTTTCTTAATTGTTTTTAAATTTCTATATGTATAACTAAGAATATTAACCATTAATCTTATATTTCACAATCTGATTTAGACTATTTGATTTTCCTAAATATTTATTTACTTAACTATTTGTGAATGAGTGTTTTGTCTGCCTATATGCTTAGCATGTGTGTGCCTGGCACCCAAAGAAATCAGTGAAGGCACTGAGTCCTTGAAACTGGTCAAGAATGGTTGTGAGCTTCATGTGGGTTTTGGGAACCGAACCTGGGACCTCAGCCAGCAAGGACAAATGCTCTTAACCACTGAGCCGCCTCTCCAGCCCTAGATGGTTTTACTTTATATTAGTCAATGTTCTAGTATAAAACTGCATTGTTGTTGCTATTATTTTCAAATTTTTATGTAGTTAAGCTACCAGTGAGTTCTGCCTTTGATGTTATGCTTAGAAAGTTCTTTCCCAACCAAATTTATAGATGCTAGCATTTTCACTATTACTTTTAGAGCTTATATTTAAACTTGCATCTTAGTAATCTATTAGAATTTCATTTTGGTTTAAACTGTGTGGTGGAGATTTATAGCTTTTAGGGTTTTTTTGTTTTGTTTCTGTTTTGGTTTTGTTTTGGTTTTTTGGGGGTTTTTTGTTTGTTTGTTTGGTTGGTTTTTTTTTTTTTTTCGAGACAGGGTTTCTCTGTATAGTCCTGGCTGTCCTGGACTCGAACTCAGAAATCCGCCTGCCTCTGCCTCCCAAGTGCTGGGACTAAAGGCATGCGCCACCACTGCCCGGCTTATAGCTTTTATAGAAGTTATATAGATAGCACTGGTAGCACTTCAACCCCATGCTTCCACTTCTCTGGACGCTAACTGGCTGGATGCTAAACAGTTCTCTCAGTTCTGCTGGTATCTACCTAGAGTTAGCAGTAGACTCCCGAGACTGCCCCACTCCAGAAGCCAGCCTTCTGACTTACCAGCTGCAAGTTGGGATTCCCGCAACTCATTCTGTAGGTTTGGAAACGTGTTAGAGTCATGTGAGAACTCAGGAAACCACTTCATTTGCATTTCCTAGTTTGTTAGTAAGGACATGAATCCAGAAAAGTCAAGAGGGACTGTGCAGAGAGAGCAAGGTTTAGTGGACAGAGTGAGGAGGCTTCACACACCAGCTTGGGAGATGTTTGAACGTCCTCATGTAATGAAGTTCTCGGGTCCCATTATGTGATATGCCTGATGAAATCATTGGCCATTAGTGACTTAGACTCTAGACACTTTCCCCAAAGGCTGGGGCACAGGCTAAAAATTGTAAGCTCTGACCATGGTTTGGTCTTTGAATCCTGAAGCCCACAAGGGCAGCTTCATTGAAACAAAGGACACTCAGGAAACGCCAGGGTTTTAGGAGCTCCGTGCCAAGAGTGGAAACAAAGACATCGTTCTATAGTACCACATACATGCCATTACATATAGAAGAGTCATCTCATGAAATGTCACACTGAATCACCTCTGTAACAGCGTCCTCAGAAATGCCCTTGTGTGCCTGCTTAGCACACCCTAGGCCATCACTGCTTGTGGGATTTCTGTTGCCATAAATTGATTTTACCTATTCTTTTTTTTGTTTTTGATTTTACCTAATCTTAAAATATATTTGTTAGTCAGGTATGGTGGTCCATTCCTTTAACCACAGCACTTGGGAAGCAGAGGCAGGCAAATGTCTGTGAGTTCAAGGCCACCCTGGTCTGCAAGTTCAAACCAAAAGGGCTACAGGGTGAGACCTTGTATCAAAAACAAAATAAAAATTTTTTAAAGAAGATAAATGAAAAAATATAGAGACTAAACCTTTTAGATCCTGAGCTACAAGCACTCCACTACCTAACCACGCCCCCCCCCCCATAGAACTACACCCCACCCCCATAAAGCCACACCTTGCTCCCCCATAGAGTCTACACTCAGTTTGACTCAACTTTCTCTCCCAGTCAGATTTACCTCCACTTGTCTCTCTTCTCCACCCAGTTTCTTTCTTTCTTTCTTTTTTTTTTTTGGGGGGGTTTTTTTTGGGGGGTTTTTTTTTGTTTGTTTGTTTTGTTTTTTTCGAGACAGGGTTTCTCTTTATAGCCCGGGCTGTCCTGGAAGTCACTCTGTAGACCAGGCTGGCCTCAAACTCAGAAATCCATCTGCCTCTGCCTCCCTCTGCCTCCCAAGTGCTGGGATTAAAGGTGTGCGCCACCACTGCCCAGCTTTTTTTTTTTTCTTTTTTTTTTTCAGTTTCTTTCTTTCATTCTGATCTTCTCTTTGGTACAATTTTATTTTTACCAAAGAATACCCTTCTTCCAGCTGTTAGTCACCTTGCTATGTGTAAAACTGTATTGCATTGCTCTGGCTAAGTTCAGAATTCTGTGCTGAGGAGAGGTGGCTCAGTGTTAAGAACACTTGCTATTATTCTTCCAAAGGACCCAAGTTCAGATCCTAGAACCTACATCAGGTGACTCATAACTCCTTACAACTCCAGCTCCAGGGGATCTGACAACTTCTTTAGATCTCTGAGGTCAGTCACACACACACACACACACACACACACACACAAATAAAGATGAATCTTTTTAGAAAGAGAAAAGGATAGAGGGAGAATTCTTATAAAAAAAATTGGGGGCTGGTAATTTCTGTTCAGCGCTTAAAAGTCAATGAAATTATTATTATTTTCACTTGTTTTAACATTATTATTTTCACTTGTTTTAACAAATATTCTTTGAGGCTGGGTATGGTGGTACACTCCTTTAATCCCAGCACTCCTGAGGCAGAGGCAGGTGCATTTCTGTGAGTCTGAGACCAGCCTGGTCTACAAAGCCAGTGTCAGGCCAGTTTGGACATCATAGAGAGACTCTGCCTCAAAACCAGAAAAAGTCTTTTCTCACAATAATTGTTTGTCATTTAAAGGCAGTTTTCTGATGTTTGTTTGTTTGCGGGAGACAGGGATTTGCATCTATCGTATTGCTAGACCTTCAGGCTAGAACTGACCTTAATACACGCATATAATTAAAAAATGGTATAAGAGCACAAAGGAGGAGGGGGCAGGACAGGGGGTTCTGGGGGGGAATGGGGAAAGGGGATGACATCTGAAATGTAAATAAATAAAATATCAAAAAAAAATTTTTTTTAAAAGAGAGAGGGTTTCTCAGTGTAGCCCTGGCTGCCCTGGAACTCACTCTGTAGCCCAGGCTGTCCTCGAACTCAGAGATACCCTGCCTCTGGTGTGCTACCACCACCCAGCTGCTTCTGATTCTTTTTAAAGACTATCTTTGTTATCTTTGATGGTCTAGTTTTCATATTCTGAATGTAAATATGATTTTATTCTTATGTATATTACTTTTATAAAACATTATATTTTGGCAAAATCTCTGGGAAAAGTCTTGTCACATTTATTCAAACGTTGCTGCCCTTCCCCTCCCTGTGGCCTCTCCTTCTGGAACTCCCATGAGATATGTTGGGCCCTCGTGTCTCTTACTCTCCCTTTTTACTATCTGTTATCTCTGTGTGC